ATAACCACCGATTGGCCTGAACAACACTATGTTTTGTCCTTACAATATTAAAATTCAAGCCTTCAGTTAAGAGTCTTATGCTGATTTTTCAGAAGGTATGGAACCTCGTTGTTCCTGAAAAGTTCACCATGGGCAGAAATCCTTTATACGCGGGTACTGTACTCATTGAGTTCTACAAAATAACAAATACCCGCTTCGAAACGGAGACTCACACTTGGGGACCTTCCCTCGTTAGACAATAAGATTTCCATTGCCGAAATTCCATAGAATCAAACAAATAATCTGTGATAATCACAGGTAAGCATTGAACAAGATCATTTTTGTTCAACTTATTATTAAGTTTTAGAAAAAAAACATGCCTATTTGCTAAATGAATTAAACTTGGAGGTTGTTTCATTTCCGTATAATTAAAATGAAAAAGTCGTCGTAAATCTTGAGCATTTCTTCGTTTAACAAAATCTTGTTCACGTTGACGAAAATCCTATGTTTAATAAATAAGAATCGAAACTGAATAAATTTAATATTACTTTTGGATATTCAATATTTTGATTGATTTGATTATCTGTCATTTTCATTTTCATCTCTTGTCGAATATCAGAAACAAATGAAAAAAATTGTAATTCATTCTTTAATAAAGAATTTTTTATTTTTTTAACAAAGAAATTTGCTAATAAATAAATTTTTACCTCTCTTATATATGAAATTAATCGATTAATCATTAAGCATTTTTCAATAGATGCTTCAATTTCAAGTAAATTCTTTCGTCTATCCTCTAACAATGTTATATAATCGATTGATTGTCTTTAATTAAAAAAAATAAAATAAAACAAACAAAATTAGAAAATTTTCAAAATTCATTTTAGTTTTTCTTAGTACCCTTGTTGATAACGTCTTTCAACTTCATCCATAATATCAGAAAAATTTATTTCTCCGACTGATTTTCGTACAAGAAATGCATGTAAACCCAATGTTCTATTCGAATATTCATTCGGTGATAGAAAATTAAAACATTCAAAAAGACCAGTAATTATATTCTAAAATTTATTTATTATATTATATATTTTATTTTCAGAAATTTAATTATTTACCGGTAATGATGGTGGTTCTAGTGGTGGTGCTTTAAATAAAAAGAAAAGAAATTAAAATGGTTAGGCCTTTTTTTTTTTCCTGCGAACAGGTAATACTTACAATTTGATGCTATTCGTTTGACTTTTGGTTTTGTTAAAGGCATTATAATAGAAAAATTTTATCTACAAAACAAAAATGAAATACAATGAATATTAAAATCACAACACATATATCCGAAATAAATGAAAAGAAATAATATTGAAAATTTCCATTCATTAAGCACATCATTTGCAGATTAATCTACTTATTGTAATCACAGTCATTCTCAAAGTTTAGTATATCGTCAAAAAGTGGCGAAAGTGACTGTGAATTAGATGAAATTGTTTTCGATATTGGTGTTGGTGCATTGAATGTTTGATCTACATTGATACGATGAATAGAAGACGATTGAATTAATTGACCACATTCTGGTAATTTATTCGAAATCAATTGTACAACATCTTGATCCGACATTATAGAATGATTGGAATTTGTAACAACAATAACTATAGGCGGTTGATAAGTGGATATGTCTAAAAAAAAAATATCAATTATTCTTTTTTTATAACTTGTGAAATATAGAAAAATAATATTACAATTAGTTTGAGGCGCTGCAACATATTGCGGTACATTCGAATAATATTCATAGGATGACTCTACAGAAGCAGAAGTCATTTGAGATCGTGGGTAATATGGCTGCAGTGAAGAAGTTGATTGGACATAAGATATAGGCGTTTGTTCTATTGTAGATAAACCAAAATCGTACGAATCAGAAGAAACTGAAATAAAAATATGTTTTAAAACAAAAGAATTATAATTGATGGCATACTATTATCTGCATTGATGTTTGTAGTAGTTATGATTGTAGAATTCTAGAATAATACAAATAATAAAATATATCAACATTATTTTCTTCTGTAATCTAAATATCATACTGGTGAACGACCAGGTGCTGGTGATAAATCAGAATCGTTTGAGTTGTTATTGTTTTCTTGGCTATTCAATAAGCATAAGAAGTTTTATATAATAAAGAATAATATTTTTTGTGAAACACGATAAGAAATGAATGTTATAGTGAATAGCAAAAAAAATTGGATTCATATGTCATATATCTCACTAATTGTCATAGTCTGTCTGTCTCGAAGCATGATGACTTTAAGACTTTTTGTGAAACACAACTGAACATAAATATTTAAGTATATTGCAACAAATTTCAATTCATTCTTTTCTCTTCCCTACAGATCGTAATAGATGAAGAGAATATATTGGCTGATTTTGACCCAAAAGGATTCTATAATTGACGTATGTAGGGGAATAATTTATGAATAGAAATGAATCTATTGTGTATCACATTAAAATTTCGTTAGGGCAGAACTAAAAGCTTTTACTTGTGAGTACAATGCCATATTGAAGGATATCTTTCTTTGTGTGGACAGAATTCTCGTAGTTTCTCACCTATATATATATTATATTAATTAGTATAAATCATAACAATTTTTTAAAATCTTACTATCATAATGTTCGAGAATTTTGCTAGTATCTGCTAAGACATTTTGAACATTTTTATTAAGAATAGTTAAGAGAGTACTATATTGTAATGCTTCATTTAATATTATTTTAATTATAAATACACCTAATGCAAATGGTAATTTAAGTGAGTCAAATGTAAGATGTTGTATATTAGTAGATGAACCTGTAATAGAAATCATTGTTGTTTATTAACTTTGAAAAATCCATGTAAAAAAAGACGACTCAAAATTAGATTAAGATCGATTGTGTTGGGATTAATAATCTATTATAATAGATTATTAATCTGATTGTTAGTCGTCTTTTCTTTTACATGGAAAGAGAATAAATACCTTCCAACAGATCAACACGTACGCCAATATCTTTCACATTTGTCAGGCGACTCAAAGCACCAAATCGAATTGCACAAATAGAAGCTTTATGATGTTCACGTTCTTTAAGTAAAAATTGATTTACTTCATCACTATCACATATACTTAAGAATAATCTGTAAAACCAATATATATATAAATGTAGAAAATTATGATTTATTGACTTTACCCATCATCATGAAATAGACTCAAAACAGGATGTTCAGCCATAAAATCAATTTGAGCAAGTATTTTAACTAGAAGATCCTATGTATAAACAAAAACTAGTTATTAATCGGTAAGGAAGAAAAAAAAAGAATCATATTTACATGACCACGAGTTTCTATTAAACTGCCTTGATTATCTAAACATGGAGACATACTATTGAAATATCTGTTTCGATCATGTAATAAATAAAATTTTAATTCTTACAACAAGCAACTTTTAATATTTTCTCAATATATGGCATAACCCAATCTTTTGGATAAATACCAGTTTTATGTATAAAATACCGTTGAATACTATTTACAATTTCATCCATTGTTAAATCTGTTGTCATAGTTGAAGAAGTACTATTATCTAATATCGTTGCTATTGGTTGTAATTGTGTTATTAGTGATTTCCAAGATTTTAAATCTTGTATAAATACTTTAGCAAAAAGATCTGCTGTTTGTGATGTGTTTGTTATAAGTCCAAATGGAGCTGATTTCACAATAACACAATGTTGATAGGGTAGTAATCCATTGTTGAAACGTATCTATAGAGAATATTAAGAAAAGATAAGAACAATATTTTAAATTATTTAGAAAGAAAAGTAAATGATATATTTATACCGTGACATTAATGTGAAACTCCATAAAATAGATATGTGGTGAAAAATGTATTTGTAATTTTGATGATTTTTGATCTTCTGATACGGTCGATGTTTGTCGAAGAATAATTTCTGATAAATCAGCACAATAAAAACTTTTTCGATTGTTTAAAGCAGTAACAATTGTATAAGTTTTCCAATTCATTTTTAATTGTTCATAAACTATTGGAGGTTCTTCCATTGAATTTGATGTTGTCATACGACGCACATAAGGTGCTAACAAAACAAAAATAAAAACAATGTCTCTTCAGTATGATTTAAATTATCTTTGTAATATTTATACTTATATCATCAATGGTTATTGCAGAATTTTCTTTGTCAAGTAAACACAGAAGTCGACAATAAATTTTTGCAGTAACAAGTGGTTTATTTAATGGACTATGTGTTACAATTGATGGTGTTGGATGTTGAATAATAAAAAATGAACTAGAAAAAGAGAAAAAAAAATTCTATATAATCATATGATGAATATTTGCCTACTTGTTAAGGAAAGTTTGTAAATATATATTCAATTGTGGAACAATAGATAATTGTGGATTAATATTAGGAAATAATTCACAATGAGATCTTATCCTATATGAAATCATTAAATAATAAAAATAAATGTTTCAAGTCTTTTTTTTTTTATGACATACCAATTTTGTAGATTAATAATATTTATTGATTGTCGAACATTATCATTGTTATGATATTGAAAACGTCTCATACGATAGATTTGATCAAGTGTACGAGCACTTTGATTTTGTTGATCACATTGTTGTATAAGTTCAACATCCTGAAGGTATTTATTTATTCATTGAAAAAAATTAATTTTTTTATTAAGTTGAATCTCATACTGTTTTTGGAATAGGTATTGCTTGATTTTCACACATATATTCATAAAGATGTCCTTGAATTTTATTTAAAATATTTTGAAATACTTCGCTATTCTAAATATATAAATAAAAACAAAAAATAAAATAACAATTGAATATGATTAAATAAATGAACCTTTTGCAAATATTCACGTAATCGAGCAATCATTATACATCGTTCAATGTCTATTTGAGTTTTATCATTTAGATTTTTTTCATCATTATCAAGTTGACATATAAAATCACTGTTGGAAACATGTCATAAAAGAGAAAAAAATAAATTTCTTTTTGACAAAAGAAAAAAAAAAACATATGTTATTATTACTTTGTTTGAACACCCATTTTAATTCCATGACAAAAGAATTTTGAAAAATGTTCATTTTCATAAAAACGTACTAAACAACTGTGTATACCAATTGTAGCTGATGAATATTCATTTGGTGCTAGAAAAATGTGACTTGTCCATAAATCAGGAATAAATGTTGATGACTAGATTATATTTGATGAAATAGAGAATAGATTAATTAAATTATCATTTGTTTTACTTACAGGCATTGGCAAATAATTATTTGATTGCTTTCGTTTTGGCATATTGTATCTTGGTACAAAAAAAAAAAAGATAAAAACAATATTCAATATCAAGCTTGATTTTGCTTTCTTAACTATTATTTTTTTTTTCGTTTATGACTCGATAAAAACTATGCTGAGCAAATAAATAAGGTTTGAAGGCGGCCAACTTCTATTCAGAAAAGAAAAAGTACTTTTTTTTAGCAGAGAACGCTTAAAAAGAAAAAGAAAAAAATTTAGACGCACCTTGTGCTCTGGCTCATAGAATAAATATTTGGCGTAGTTGTCATTTCTTTATTTTTTCTAAGAAATCTGAAAACATATATTCGTCACTTCTCTGTTGGAAATTCCAATTAATCAAATATTTCATAATATTGTTTTTTCGAAATTTCTTTTTTGAATACAAAAATTATTTTGTTGTTGATTATGTTCTAGTAAATTGACAAAAAAAAACAACCTTATTGACATTCGAGATTATTTATAATGTGAGGAACTTGACTGGCGTAATTTTTTCATTATTTTTCTCAAGTTTTACTTCCTAGTTGACGTAGAATTTACCTTAACGCATTGTCAAATGACGTTGTATTATATGAGCTTTCGTTTAATTCAAGGTTTTCATGAATGAATTATATGCCTGCAGGCACATTCTTGTGACATAAATAGAATTCCACTCATTTTGGTTAATAAATAAATAAAATAGATAAAGCAAACTTCTTAAAGGGTTTTAAAAGTGCAATTATGAAATAAATCAGACAGTACATACATATAATATCTTGCAATAGCTTTAAGAAAAACAATTATATTCATCGTTGTCAATGGTGGTACAGAAATATTTCTATCAGAGAATCTATATTAATTTCGACAGTCTGGCTTTAAAACAGAATGAAGATCTTGTTTATGATATCATTGCTAGACCATGAAAAAGAGGAAATGGGTGAGAATAAAGAGCTTATTACCTCAAGGATTGAAAATTATTCAGTCATTATGTATTTTGCCAAAATTTGCACATGTAACTGTCAGTAAACTATTGGTTATATTATTAGATAATACCAGCATTATTAGAAACGTTCTAATGTGATATTTATTGATACTAACCGTGCCTTAGTAATCATAGTTCACATGAAAAGATAATAATAAATTTAGTAATTAGGACAAAACTAAATGAATAATTCATGATGCATAGAGATGATAGTCGAGTAGACACATTCTCTCTCTCTCTATATATATATACGATATAAAGTGGCTGTAGATAATAATATTATATTTTGTATATATCTCAAAATTAGCTCATCTAGAATGATGTAATTTTCTTCAGATTACAGCTTATAGTCTTTGGAATAGTAATAAAAAATTTGACGTTCATTCATTGATCTGTTTAGTTGTTTTGACAATACAATTGCAGCATGTTGTTTTTCATCCTTTCAAAATTATCCACCTATTATTTGTACTAAATATTATGCGTTTGTTTTACTCTGAAATATTTTCTTTATAATAGATGAGTCATTAGAGCAAATAGTGCCCAGCATGAGACGTACCTTTGATTGCAGCTTTGCTTTGAGAAACGTTTTTAAAAAAAAACAAAAAGGTACTTTTTTAATCTATACCGAATATTTTCAACAAAAAGGCAGCAAGAGACTACCAGAATTTATTTATTGATAGCATATAATACATATTAGCTATGACAAAAGAGAGCCATAGTTTAGAAGAGTTAGTACTCATTTTCAACTGATACGCCATCCTGAGTGTCGTTCTTGCCTTCATTCTTATCTAGATACTTGTCTTCAGTTTAATCTCTTCTCTCTAATGATAAAATATATAGCAAGATTTTATCGAAAAGTCTCGATGAATTAGAAAAATAAATTCCGATAAGTTACTGAAAAGGCATATTGAAAAAAGTCTCTTGTCACCTCTTTGTTGAAAATGTCAAGTATAAGTCAAGAAAACTTTGTTTTGTAATCCTTATTCATTGAAAAGCTATTTTCACTAATCTTAGAATCCGAGTAGACTCATCCGGTAAGATTTTGCTTTTTGAAACCAATTCACAAGATTTGACAAGATTCGTTATGCATCAACGACAGACTAGAAATCAGAGAGAATGTAGTCTCAAAAGATAGAAGTACGAACATATAGAAAAATATTAAATTCAAAGTAGTTTCTGTCGAGTTCAGAATAGTTGCGAAGGAATATGTATTACTTTAGCATACCCGCTAATCATGAAAAAGTAAAATAATCATGGAAAAATAATATTTTGTACAATTTTTCTCTCTCAAAATAATTCAAATTCAATCATCTATATTTACAAAATCTAAAAAAAAAAGAAATTAAGCATGTTTGCATTCTATACAAAATGTAATGTTTCCGCCAAGTGTTCTGATGAACCGATATAAAACAATACATTTAATAAAAAAAGCTCGCATGGGTAATTCCAACAAAGTTTTTACTTTCGTTTTAAATCATTTTAATATAATTTCGATATGATAATTAATAATATGCTAAAAAACAACTAAGTATCTATCAGTCGACCACTCACGAATAGGACTGTTGCATACCTGCATAAAGAAAACTGAATGTAGATAGGAGACGATTTATTTAAACAAGAATAGAGGAAGAAAAAAATAGACGATTCTAGGGATAAAACGGCGCACTTCAAGTCGAAAATATACTTAGAATTATTTTTCTGTTTTGATGTACTTTTTGACTTGAAGTATGGTGTTTTCCCCTAGAAACTAATACAAATATATGTAGTTATTTTAGTAATTATAAAATATAACGCTGCATTTATTATTTTAGATATTAATGATTGATTATATAATTTGATTGAACAATTTCAAATAATTATATGCTAGTGTAGAGCTGAAAAAATTGCAATAAAAGTACAATAATAAGATGTTTTATCTATTACAGATAAATAGAAATCGTTTAATCGATATAGAATTGTTAAAATTTCTTGAAAAGATATTCTTTTTATTAATAAATGAATAATATACTTGGTTTAGTCCAGTGGTAGAACTACAATTTTGGGTTAGGAAAGAGGCTCAATAAACGAAATCCTTAGAACGTATAGAATCTTTTCTTTAATTGTATGTAGAAAAATGTGTTTTTTTTGTGCTCATTCATCTTTCCTTAGACTGTATAGTGAGTTGATGAGTAAAGCAAACAAAATCATGCTTTTTTATTTTTAATGTTTCATGAAAATAATCACCTTAGATAGAACAACAAAAATCATACTTCAATTTTACTATGTCAACATAATGTAAATGTTTCTATGATCAACAGAAAAAAAAAAATTCAGAAATATCATCGAAAACAATTTGGAAATCTTGTTCTATTGATATTATATACTGATTACTTACAAGGAAAGATTTTTGACAAGGTTTTAATAAATGCATATTTAGAATAGTTTTTCAAGAGAATCTTAATCAGTTTAGAAAAAAAATAGTTCAATCCCATACTTCTACAATATTCATGGCATTCAAATATTCAAAGTATAAGCGTATTTAGAACTTCTATTTATGTTGATTGTGTATAGTCAATTGTGAAAAGTATTGTTATTATACCTTGTATTATTAATATCATAGTTGAAAAAGCTATATTGTACTTACTACATTGATTTATTCAATAATTTTCGTGTTTTTTCTATTTTTTTAAAGTATTAAAATTTATGTACAAATGTAAAACACATAGTTTAAATTTAAAAAAAAATCTAATACAGTTTTATTATTAATATGCAGCTGAGAATCTCTAAAACTTTATTGCAAGTTATATTTAATGTATTTTTTTATTCAATGACAAACATGTCATTTTTAGACAATGTGATACAACTATTAAAATATTTTATTAGAAAGACTAATACAATTTTATATGAGAAAAAAAAAGTCATTTTCACAAAAGCTTGTCAGGAGAGGGTGAGCCTGTTTCTCTCTCAGGTTCTCTTATCGTATTAATCATATAGCTGTATTGACTTATTGATGAGATAATCCGAATTATATCCATTTCATGAAGTAAAAGATAAATAAATTGATCAATAATATATACATTTAATGTTTAAAATTTGTACAGAATAACAAATCCATTACGAGTTGTCAAGTTAGGTATTATCGAAAATACTGTCAGATGAATTATTTGAAACAGATAGTGAAGTCTAGATAAAGATTAAAAAAAAAAACAAAAAGAAACCTTCAAATTCATTATATATTATTATCAATTACTTGAGTAGCAACATCAACGCAAGTTTTAGATTGAAAATAATCATTTAATAAATGAAATAAAATTTGTTTTTGCTCTTGAATATTTTCATTAGTTAATGTTGATAGAAACGTCGATGCTATTGTAATATCATTTGGAGTTGAAGAAATAGTTTCCGTTGAAGAATTCATTAATAAATTGGATAGTTTTTCTACTACATGATGAGCAAGCATATCAGTTTGAATATTTACTTTTTCATTTGATCTTTTCGAATGATCATTAGTCACGGTCATATTCGAAAGATCAACTATATTAACAAACTTTTATTTTAAATTATATATTAAAAGATCTTACGTTGAATTTCCTTTGTTGAAGAAGTGTTTGATTGAGAGACATCTTCTTTCATTGATTCTAGATCGAATGAAAGTGAATTTGATAAAGCTAAAAGAAAATAAGATACATACAAAAAGTTTAGAAACAAATTCATTTTTGATTTTTTCTTGTAAGAGTAATAGTTAGAACAAATTAAAGAAAATATTTGATTAACTGAAGCAATTTCCTATCAAGATAGATACTTATGAAATTTCCATTAACAAGTTCGGATGAAAAATCCTTGAAAAACAAGACCTAAACAAAATCAGTTTCCTACAAATTCTCTCCACAGTTTCTCTCCCAGTGCCCGACATGAGTCAGATTTTTGTGATCTGACCCGACCTAACTATAGGTGCAACAAACCCAAAGTCTTAGGATTTGGATTATTTGACATCAAGTGTAAATCTAAATCGAATCCCAAGGGGTAAACAGCAGAGGCTTCGCTTTTGAAGTCCGATGAATTCTCTAAAAATCTTACGAAATCTCACGAAGTCTCCTGCAATCTTTTGAAGTGACATGAAGTCTTATGAAGTCTCTTGAAGCCGTATGAATTTTTGAACGCATTGTCATTTCAAGTAAACATGAGTTTTTATCTTTGAAACAACAGGGGAAATTACGGTAACGGTTGTGAATAAGTTATCTATTGATAATGGATTGGAATTTAATTTAATCTAATTATGACGAAAAAAGGAGAACTATGTTGAAGACCTACTCATTTTGAAACAAAAATTTTTGCTACGATTTGTTGTATTATTGAGTTTAAACATGTATTATTATATAGTATTATGAAAAGAAATTCTTTTTTATCTGTATCTAATAAGTAGTGTGTTCTGTGTACTACAAAAATCTGATGCCATTACTAAGGCTTCTTGACCGTTCATTCAATCTCAAAATCTCTTGAAGTCTCGTGAAGTCTTTTGAAGTCTGCTGTTTACCCCTCGTCAAATCCATTCTAGATTTGTTGCAACTCTGGATCTGACCCAGATCAGACACTACTGTCTTCAGCGAACGATAGTCATTGTGCGATAGTCCTAAAAGGCTATTTTCTGTTGTTTTTATGAAAATGAAGATGAAACTATCGTGTTTTACACTTTAGAGTCTTTCGTACAATGAGTGCGGTTTTTTTCTCTATCAGATGAACTTGTTTTTCAACCACTACAGAAAACTGTTTTTTTTTCCAAAGATCTTTCATCCAAACCTGTTGATACGACTATGGTCAGTACTTCTCGTGATTGGAAATTGTTTCAGCTAATTAAATCTTTTCTCCGTTTTGTTTGTTTGTTCTGATTGTTACTACTGTTAAGAAAACAAGTCAAATCTACTGCATTGCTAAACTCTTATCTCTATATTATTTAGATTCACCTAATAATTAATTTTATGCTTACTCATTTGTTGTTCATTTTGTTTTAATTGTTGTTCAGCAGCACTTGTTCTCCTGAAACTTAATAAAGAAAAATTATAGAAAAACAAATTAATTTACATTGTATCCCAAAGAACAGGTATTAATGGTTGATAAGCATCATTAAATTGAGATACAGTAGCACTGAGTCGAAACAATTCTATATCTATATTTTAAATATAATCAGTAAGCAATACATATTATTAAATATTATTACTCGCCAAAATACAAACTAAATTCATGAAAATTACGATCTGTTATTGCAAGTCGAAATTGCCTATTCATAGCTTCGTGTGAATTAGCTTCACAAATCATTTGACACATTTCATCTATAAATGCTTTCGCATGAAAAGTAGCTTTTGTTAATTGACCTAAGTCAATGAATCATTTTGTAAAATTTTGAAAAGAAAATTTCACACGTTATATGTACCATTATGCACAATAAATCGTACAGATGCATGTTGAGTTGAGTGATGGTCTGTAAGAGAATTAAAACGAAATAACATATGCGGCCTTTGCCGAGTACCATGTAATTGTTGATCAAGTGTATTATTATTGATGCCAAGAAATAAACTGTAAATAAATATTAGAAAAATATTGATAAATATTATAAAAATTCATCTAACCCATCATGATACATCATTGAAAGAAATGGATAATCAACGAACATTTCCATTTGACTAATTAATTTAACCAAAATATTCTTTGAAAATTAAAATTCAAAATTAATTTTAGCATATATTTATAACATACGAAAATTAGTGGCGAAGATATTTTAATTTCATAGAAAGAACTTTATAGACACTTTCTCTCTATATGGTCTATTATTAGCATTCTTTATTCTATATAGATATGTACAGGATAAGCTTTTTTTTTTCGTACCCTGTACCGTGATGCAGAAAAATTTCATGATGCTTACTATTTCTCTCATATTTAATCATTCTTTCAACTAATAGTATAATAATAAAAATTCGTTAAGATTGTTTTGTTATAATAAGTATCGGTAATATAAGATCATATTTTCTCTTTGATATGTTTCACCTTCTTTATGTGTTCTGTCAGTTCGTTAGATATTAGAGGAAACCAGAGAGAATACATATCGCAGGCGTTATTTATAATAACAAACAGTTCCTATTAAATTTTTACTATTAGATCCTATAGAAAGAAAGTTTCTTTAAGTTTTCTATTAGGAATTAAAATACCTGTGTCACTGTCTTTAATATGCCTTAAGTAGAATAGATTTTACTTGATAGATATTGAACGAAGTAGTAGTTTTAGATGTTATTGTTTTTTCTAAAAGAATATTTAGATGTATGAATATCATGATTTTTTTTTTTTCATATACTCACCATAGACTGTTTGTAAGACATCTGTAATATATTGAGTAGTTTGAAGTTTTGCTTCCATACCTGAAATACGAGTATAATATCGAAGAATATAATTTGTAAGAGTATTTGGTTGAATTATTGAATTATTCTAGGAAAATAAAACAAAAACTTATTTTACCGATATAAATAATATGTATTTCATACAGATTGTGAGATTTGTTCAACCTGATGTAATAATACTTGTGCAACATATTCAGGATAATATTGAGCATGTGAACAAATACCGAATTGTTCTGAAGTTAATTTATGATTTTCTTCAATATTAAGTTCATTTATCTATTTAAATATATCTAATAATAAAAAAATAGAATTATATTTTTTTAATCTATTTACTCTAATTTTAATTTTAAACTCTAATTGACACATTTTTCCATTATACATTGGTCGTGAGTTTGGTCGATCTAATTTTTTTAATTTAATTGATTCAAGTTCAACATAAAAAAATGATCTAAGTATATTATCAGGATCGATTATTTGTCTTTTATGCCATTTAAGTGTTGGTTGTTCTTCTCCAAATAAATCCAAATTACGATCGAATGGAAAAAGTGTAACAGCTATTATGAAAATTAGATTTTAGTTATCAAATATTCGTATTCTTACCAACATTTGAAAATATTAAATTTTTTTCTACTATATCTGGCTCTAATAAACATATAATACGTGTATGTAATTTAGCAGAATATGTATTTCCCGATTTATCATATTTAGCAGCTACAACACATTCTGGAACAGATGGTTGAGCAATAATAATAAATGAACTATAAATATTTGAAAAAAAAAAAAAAGATTAAATTAATGAAAATATAAATAATCTCTAACTGTTGTAAAAGTTTTTTCAAATGATCATAGTTTTGATCGTTGAAATTTCTTTGACAAGAACTAAGACAATGAGAATAAATTTTCGTAGCACTAGAAATATAAAAAATTCATATAATGAATAATAATCCTAATGAAATTCTTACATTTGTTGTAAAGTAAGTAAACTTTGTGGTCTATTTGCTTCATCATGATTAATATGAAATAAACGTCGATGAGATTGTAGATTTTGCCAAAGTTCTATCTGATCATAAAAATCTTCTACTGTCTATGAAAATAATTTATTAATCTTTGTCTAGAATCTATTCAATATAAATTACCCATGCTGATGGTGTTATACATGATATTCGCATTTTAATTTCTTCATATAATTCTCCTGTTTGTCGAGCAAATTGACAAGGATCCTAAAAAAAAATAATAACACAATCATGTATATTAATTATCTCTAAAAAAAAAGAACCATACAAAATAATTCATACTTTTTTACATTCAGCAATAAGTCGATTAATCATAAAACATTTTGCTACTGAATTAATATTTGGTTTTAAATTTCGTCTTTCACGATTTAATAAATTCATCCATGTAAGTTGTAAACTAAAAATCAAATAGTTATTAAATAATAATATTTATATTAAACGTCATACCTTCGTTGATATAGATTTATAAATGATATATGAATAAGATATTTTGTAGTTAAATTAAATATGAGGCCTATAGCATTCATATATATTTCATTTGGTGATAGAAATTCATAATCATCTGACCAAGCAACTTTGATTTGTAAAATATTACTATGGATATCTTCTTCGATTTCTATCGAAGAACGTGATGCTAGAAATAAAATCATGTACAAAAAATTTTTATCCATAATAATACATACCGGATCTCTTTGATGCTTGTTTTTTATTTGTTGTCATATTATTTTTTTTTTCGTTTTAATAATTCTCCTCTTCTAATAATGCGTTAGTTAATTAGTTTTATAATGAACTTTGTATTAATTGTCGTCTATTGTGTAGACTATAAATAAAAGTTATGACGTAAATATTATAAACGTAATAAATGAAAAAGAAAGATGAAGACAACTGTTGAAGAATTCGTCATTCTTCCGAACATTACTAACTGACTTTCGGTGAAAAATCAAGTGTGTTGTCTTAATTCATGCAAAAGAATGAAGGTCATTGCTTTCAATTTTAGAAGCATAATTTATTTAACCTTGTTTTCTCACCTTGAAACTAGGTATATGAATTTTCGTACTTTCAAAAAGATATTTTTACTAAATCAAACATCATTTTCGAATATCCTAATACATAACTTTTAGTCTCGTTATCATTTAAAAGTTTATGTAAAATTTTGTATACTTACAATAACTTGAAAATAATTGATAGTTCGTTCGTCTTTGGTCTGATAAAAGTTATATCTGAAACTTTTGACAAACTTAATTGAATGAAAAAACTAATTAAACAAAAAATCAATTGAATGTATTATCATGTATTACTTGTTTACAAAAAAAGAAAGAAAAGAGAATATTATTGATATTTAATAGCATTTACATTTTGACCATTATATTTACATCGTATTTTGAAGAAGAGTTTGTAATGGATAAAAAATTGTTTCATCATCAATTTGCATTAAATTATTACGATTCAAATCATTATCTATATTAAAAATGACAATATCAAAGATGCACTTTAAGAATATTCTCAAGTCGTACCGTGATACCAGCGAAAATAGAAAAAAGGAATTGTTTTATTATCATTAAATACTTGTAACGGATTTCTGTCGTTGCTTGCCGCATTACAAAGACATCTACAGATATCCTCAATGAAATATTCATGAGTCGTACGTGCTTTTCGTAATGTACCTATATGAAATTAATTTTCTTCAATATATATTTTCAATCTGAATTTGATTTTCAAACCATCATAGAAAGCAAAGATAATATTTGGATGTTCTGTTTTTTTATTTTTAAATTGTTCAAATCGCATTATCATTTGAGGTATTTGTTGAGTACCATCACTGATTTTCTTATCAACTCTATCGCTGCATATACCATGAAATAAACTATGAAATTAATATATATATATATATATATATGAAAAATTCAATAAATCAAATATATTTTAGTATAACTTGTCATAATACATCATTGCAAGGAACGGATGATTGCCTAAAAATTTAATTTGAGTGAATAGTTTTTCCAAGATATTCTAAAATAATAAGAAATTAAAGAAAAAACAAGTATATGATGATAATTATTAAGTTACTTGATAAATTTCCAAGGAGAACATCATTATATGTGTCTTAGTTGAGTTTGAAGACGTTAGAAATATATTTAGAACTTCTAGTAATTCAGCTTCAATGAATTGTTGAGTATAAGATTTTACTTCAACACCTGAAATACGTTTATGAAACTCACAAATGTATCCTATCAAAGTGTTGATATGAGTTTCCAGAGTAATCTTGAAACAAAAAACAAGTAATTGATGAAATTATTCTATTGCAACATATATTACTTACATTCTTATGCAATTGGCTAACTTCTTCAATAAAAACTTTAGCCAACGATATTGGGTAATATTTTGCATGGGAGCATAGTCCAAATAATTGTGAATTTAATACTAAAGCTTCTTCAAAGTCATGTCCAATTATCTATATAATAAGTATACATATTAAAAGCAAAATTAAACTTAGATAGAATATTGATTTTCACTAATTCTATACTGTAATGTAAGCACCAATAGCTTCTTCTACGTCGATAACGGAACATGATTTTCGAAAAGATTTTTATAAACGAATGAAATAGACATTTTAAATGATTGAAATATTTAATTTCAAGAGAAGACAGCTATTATTCGCATATATTTTTGAATTTTTGCATATCAGCTATGAATCACGCTAAATTCGAAAACAAATAAACATCGATTAAAAGAATACTACTCAAACAGTATCAATTTAAAGATTTTTTTTGTTTGTTTTTTTTGGTCGGACCTTGATTAAGAAAACCTTATGTTCCATTGAGAACATTGGCGACCTCTACAACTTCCTAGATTTAACTAGACTTCAATTCAAAGTTGAACATAATTTAATATATAAGGTGTTTATTCTCATTTGTTTGGATTTATTTAAATTTTAAATCTTTTTTAGAAGATCTGTTTAATTTTGTTGTCTAAATCTTAAATTTCTATATTATATTTTCTACATATGTAAAAATAAATTAAGATCTTACTTTAAATGTTGTTCGAAATTCTAATTGACATAATTCATTATTGTACAAAAGTTTGCGTTTAGAATTCTTTTTTGTTAACTTAATATAATCATTTTCGTTTAATTCAGCATAGAAAAATGTTTGTTCTTCTTGTTGACTAGTAATGATTGTTCGTGTTTTCCATTGAAGTGATGATTGTACGTCACCATCAGGATCACGATTACGATCCTTTGGATAAAGGATAACATCTCAAAAGAAAATAAATATATTAAAAACAAAGCTGTTAATGCAATGCCTACAGGACTAAAATGTGAAAAATTACTCAGTTTCTCTTTTTCATCACATGGATACCATATTTTAACGCGTAAATAAAGTATACTTTTATTGATTTTGTTTGACTGGGTGGGAAAAGAGTAAGGAAATTTTTATCGATCAGACTACAACATAAGAAAAAAAGACGTACTCAGTATATCTCTACTCCTTCAACATCCTTTTACTTAATCCTTTAGAAATGCAATCAAGAAGTAGTTCATATATTCTATTCAGTTGTTATTCATAATTAGTTTTTGATCTTATATATCAACAACATCAGTCATCTGTGTGAGGCGGTTGAAATTTTTATCTCTATACTTGAACATTCCTTTTAGATCGTATTTGAAAAGAAAAAATAAACTAGTTGTATAATATTAAACTTACCAATATTTGAACATTTTAAATATTTTCTAATCTCATTTAGATTTAGTAGACAGATAATTCGTGTCTTTATTTTTGCTAAAAAATCTTTGCCAATTTTCTCATATTTCGTCACTGCTATGCAATCAGTACCAGATGGTTGTGCAACAATAATTAGAGAACTAATCGATAGAAACAATAATAATAAGAAATAGTTATAAATAAAAATACTTACTAACGAAATAGTTCAAGAAAAGCATCTCGGCCACCTGATTGCAAAAAGTTAGGATCGTGAATAAGCGAATGAAGAAGATTGAGAAAGTGATTAGTCATTCTAGAAATAGTTAATGATAATATATTGAAATAAAGAGAAAATGAATTTACAGTCGTTGTAATGTAAATAAACTATGTAGATCATTACATTTTCTATAAAATAAATGTCGTTCACGCTGTATTTGTTGCCATGCTTCTACTTCAGCATACACATAATTTATTATCGGAAAATTGGTATAAGAATCTTGTTCTGATGCAATTTTATTAGACATCTGACTTGTGATCTCTTTATTCAATGCTTCAACTTGTTGTTCAAAGTCATCAATATTCTAAAAAACGTCATAAGAGATTCTTCTAGGTAATAATATTAACGCATAGTGCAGAAATAACGAAACAATTTTGTCACCAATTTTTCACTGTCTGATATAACTGGTAGAAAATTTAGCACTCTATAGAACCTGTGAGTCGGCGCGCAAATTTATATTGAATAGTATACTCAATATTCAAAACTAATTTTCATCAAGTTTCAACCTTAGGATAACCATAGGTCAAATTATTCTAAAGTAACTCTGAGGGATTGTCAGGATCGAAATTTAACGTACATTAGCGTTGAGCATTAAGTGTACTATCCGATGGAGATTTGTTGTGCCAATTCTGTGTATGATATTCGTTTCCTTTCGAATTGAAGTTTTAATGGTCAAAGTCTATATTTCTGGCGTTTCGTTATTATAGCGAAAAAATCAATTTTCTCAACAAATAAATATTAAGATTATGGAGACTTAATGCGTTCAGTGCATTACAGTTTTTTGTAGACTTTTCTAAACCTAATTTTCCTCAAACATCATCTGAATATGTCATAAACAATATTTCTATAAGTAACTTGACCGAGTCTATTCAATATTGACAAAACAAAGCAAAACATAAATTGCTCAAATGTTGGATTATGCCGGCACCTTACCGATCTTTCATACTCTTTCGTTTTTTGACTTTAGATCAATAAATGTTTAATGAAACTTGAGTTCTATAAAAATTTTACATGCGTAGTATCTGCAACTAGAGTCCGTCTGGTTGTTCCTGGATTCAGACCAGAAAATTTTTGATCCGTTGACTACTAGTCGTTTGAAAAATGTGTAAGGTACGCCAGTCACCGAACATAAGAGACCAGCAAAAAGTATCTCGTATATTCTTGGCGACTATCTAATTCCAATTAGAAAATTTTATTGAGCATATCAAAGTATGATTCGAAGATTTTGGACTCGACGAGTTCTATCTGAAACGTTTGAATAGCAGATTTTTTTTTTTAGAGAATTCAATTCTTTGACGAATGAATCTTTTCTCGAACATTCTAATGATTGTATCAGACAGTGAAAAGTTGCCTCATTACTTTTGTGTCATTCATTAAACTCTCGAAAATACTTTCGAACACTCGTCGATTAATCGATTGAGCATAAATCGTTTTGGTTTTGATTTTTCATCTAATTTTAATTTGCTTCGTTCTTCAATGAATAATTCTTTCCAGCCAATCTCACGACTAAAATGATATGATTTTTAATATTATTATTCATTATTTGTTTACCTTCTTTGATATAAATCTGAGAAAGACCTACTTATAATTCGACCAGACATCAATAACGATAGAGGATTTTCATTAGTATTGATATATTCTATAAGAAACTCAAGATCACTTGATAGATCAATTGACTTAGTCGCTGTATTCATTTCTAATGAGTCTAGAATCATTGTAGACAATTAATCACTATAAAATAAAAAACGAATAATTTATTTTACCTGATCTGAGTCGTTTTGTTCGTTGACGTCTTGTGGCCATGGGTTTATGTTCGAATCAATGTTAGCAACAAAGATTGGTTTAAGATAATTGTATGTGAAATTTTTAAGAAAGTTTTTCTGGAATTTGTAATGTTTTAAACACTTTTCGTTCTCTTGAATAACAAAACGAATGTAAAGGAGAAGTAAAGAGACAACAGCTTTTATTTCTTTTTCTTTTTTTCTCATTCTGTCGATTAATTTCGCAGAAAATAAAAGTAAATACAAATATGATGTGATGTAGCCGTTAATAGATGGACTTTGTATGTAAGTAATGTCATGTTTTTTTTTACCAGTATCTCGGTATTCACCAACTGAATATTATTATTTTTGACTCACTTTTTTGTTTATTACTCATGAAATTGATCAAGTTGAATAGTCTTACGAAATTTTCGAATCACCTAATGGAAGATTTAAGTATAAATGGCGGCTTGCTTCCGTCTGTGTCATATCGATCATTGTAGAAGCTGTCGTTTGTTTCTTTTTTTGTCTTTTTTTTTGCGATAATTAGTAACATTACTCATTTTTACATTGAATTCAGTTCATACTAACTATAATATTCATTATGATATTATTGTTATCTTTCAAAACACTATCATGAAGATGTTTCACTGTGTAACATGCTTTATCAGACAACAGTTCTTCTGAAACAAAATATAGTCTATTCATTTAAAAATTTTGATGCATCAAACAAACATATATTGTTGATAGACAAATAAATCTAATCAATCGGAGAATTGACATACTAGTAAAAATTAGAATAAAGAAGTAATCATTCATATAATTAAGATTTTTATCTAGACGAATCGTAGACTTTGCTTATCGTATTGGTTTTTTTCACATCTAATTACAGTATTATTAATTAATATTCAAGCAGATTCAATCACGAATACTAATGCATTATCGAAAGCTATTAGACTAATTATAGGAATAGATTAGTATAAAAAATGTTACATGTGTTGGTTCTTGTGCGAAAAAGTATAACTTCCACTTTTTTTGTTGATATACGATTAAAGACCGTGTATCAATAGCGTCTCGTTCTAATATATGAACTACTTCCTTATTGTATTTCTGGAGAACTAAAGATAGTAAAGAAATGTGTCGTCAAATTAGATAGAATAAAACAATGTTTCTGTTTTTAGTTTAATTCAACTGAATAATACATATACTTAGAGCACGAGGCTGAGCTTGGACGTTCTACTTGTCTCGTGTTAGTTTGATCGCAATGAAATCGTTTCAAGCACAATTGGTAGCTCTTGTGAATTGACAGGAAAAATATAGATTCATTCAAATTATATGCTCGTTACAATCTGAAATCTTGCTGAAATTAACTAAGTATTCTGTATTCATGAAGAAGTCATTTGACTAAACAGGTTTTTTTCGAGAGAAACTGAATTGTAACTTCAAGAAAATACTTTTTTGTCACTATAATAACTCATCAATTTTAGATTAAATTCGAAGGTCCGAACATGATAATAAGTAAAACTGAAGCAGAGAAAACAACTGTGTCAGCAATGATCTCTACAGAAATATGAACAACATCAATTTCTCTTAAATTAAACAAAACAAAAATGTTTTTCGGAAAGATTGGTTGTCTATAAAAGAATATTCATCATGGTTACAGGAATTGAAAAGTGACCGTGCATCATCTTGGTGTCTAAAGTATTGGATAAGTACTTTTTCGTTTTTTCCAAGTTTGTAAGAAAAAAAAATTTCGAACTTTAATATAAACATTTTTGATCTAACTACAGTGTCTTCAAAGCAAACTATTTTCAATTAAATTGAGGAGTGATCCAGAAAAAATAGTCTAAAAGCTACATATATTCAACTGAGTCAATTATATCCAACAGCACAGTACTTTTAGTATAAGCAATAAGTCTTGTTGACAATTATATGGAGATATTATAAGATAATGCAACCATGAATGAATAACCAAGTTTTTTTTTCTTTTTATTAAACAATATGAAAACTAATATTTCGATCTAAGTATTCCACCATTTTTTCGAAGTTTTTCTATTTATTCTATAATTTGTTTCGTGTTCTTCTTGTTCAAGTTTAACGATCAAATATTATATTATTTGATCTCTATCTGTATATATGTTCATGTATATACAATGTGTAGTATTAATATCTTCATTTGTTACATCTTGACCTTTATCCTTAACACGACCAGATTGAAAACCATATCCATCAATATCCTTTCTTAATGTTGATATATTAACTAAAATTAAACATAAAAATGAAATTAGTATAAAGTAATGCATCACGGGCATTGGTTAAGCAGGTGCACTGTAAAAAAAAAACGTACGTTCTGGAACCTCAAAAAAAGGTTCGGTAGATGACAAAAAGTTTGCAAATGTGTTGAAAGTTTCAAAAAACGATCAAAAAAAACCCGGAACCTTTAAAGGATCTTACCATGTACCAAGTGAAGATCCTTTTTTCTTCGAAACCTTTTTAAGTTCCGTACACCAAAAAAAAGGTTTTGTAGGAAAGTACGAAACCTTTAGGGTTTCGTATTGAACCTCGAGGTTTCGTACTGGGTTTCCTATAAAACTATTATACTAGATGCGAAACTTTAAAGGTTTCGTACTTTCCTACAAAACCTTTTTTTTTGTGTACGGAACTTAAAAAGGTTTCGAAGAAAAAAGGATCTTCACTTGGGTACACGGTAAGATCCTTTAAAGGTTCCGNACATCCCTAAATCAAAATCCCTAATCTGGATTAATTTTCGTTTTATTATCCACAAATGTGGATTCGATTCAGGGATGCATTCTGGGTACCAGATTTAGGGTAAAGGATAACATACCATAGGATTTAGGGGCAAAATCTCGTTTTTTCGGAGTTTCATGGCACCGACTGTGCTCATTGATGTGAAATGGTGTTAAAGCGAACGATTTATCACATATAGTAGCATAATTGGTGAAAGTTTAAGCTCAACCGGATTAGAACACTTTGGGAGGGGGGTACACAAAGTACGGTATGACAGATTTCTTGACCGACTTTCGGTCCAGTAATCGCTTTTTTGCCACTCTATTTCTGGTTGAATCGAAATAATTTTTCCACACAATGAAGCTTATGGACAAATCATTCGTTTGAGATAGTTTTTCATTTCGAAATATGTTGATAAGTTGATAACAGAAATGATCTTCGTACAATTAGCGATTTATGAACAAATTTTTTGACGATAACTTTTCCAAGGCTTCAACTTGATATCTGAAACTTTAGATTTAGGATAAGATAGACTAATCATAGACACATTCATTCCAATATTTAAACTTTGGAAAATAGAACTTGAGGTCATGTCCGCCTAGTTGCCCACTGTGTTTCACTCATATTGCTGATTTGACGAGAAAATATTCTAATGACTTGAGATAAGAACACTGACAGATGGCCTATTCATGTGAGAGGTTGAAATCAGGACGTTCATACTTCGAATAAAGATCTTATATTACGACAGTAGTCAGCGTATTTAAATGTTTGTTCGTATTCAAAATAGAACAGAAGTGACGAATATGAGCAGAACAAACTTTCATTTTGATCTCAGAAACGCTGACAATTAATCAATGATGCTCTAGACGAGACAATTTTTTCGAAGTTTCGCAAGTTCTTGGTCTGTTTCCAAATTGATATCCCTGGATTTGGTTCAATACGATTCAATTTGATGTGATTCAACTGAATCTCAAAATCGAATTGTCTAAAATTTTGTTCGATTTCGGTCTTTGATAAACATTGAAGTTTTCCATCAAAAATCAATTTTTCAAAAGAAAAATTTGCTTTCCAATCCTAAAATTTGAGTGCACCCAGTTCTGTATCATATTCTATGTCAGACCTAAAACTATCTGTTGTGTTTACACAAAACCTTTTATGATGATGAATAACAATGAACAAGACAATAACAACTACAGTCACTACTCAGCAGCCAGATAGGCATTTTATTAACGCTTCTTGCTCTTGGTAAATGTTAAGTTTTTAATTAAGTATATATAGTTTCTTTGTATACAATTTGACTCTGCAACTACGTAGTTGAATATAAAACTGATAAGATCAACGATCTTATATTATGAATGATTCAGTCTTTATCATAAGAAAAAAATCGAGTCATAATAATTTCTATGTCGGCTATTTTTCGTCACTATCGAAGTTTGCTTCGTTTTGTTGGCATCTACAAAACGGAATCCATCCTTCTTCTTTGTTTTATACTTCTAAATATGATTCCTTTTTAAAAAATGCACTGTATTCTAAAGATCTCCTTTCTCATTTCCCCATCTGAGTTCAGATAACGTAAAAATAAAGTGTCCAAATGCTGCAAACATTTTTTTGAAGCATGTTATTCATAACTTTGACTATCAAGATTACAAAGAACTTTTTTCTTAGTTTCCGGGAAAGAGTAAACATTTCATTGTCGAGTGATGTAAGATTAATCAACAGTTAAGAAGTTGATCCTTTGAAAGAAACGTTAGAGTAGGTTCAGAGAAAATGTTGATTGTTGTGTGCACTTTATGCATGTCACTCACTACATATAAATCAACTAAGATCACTGAACGTATGCAGCAATCTATTGGCTTGGGCATTCAAAGATCCTCATAGTAATTATTCATTAAAAATGGATGACATCCTGAATTATGTTAAAAATATCAGAGCATTCGTGTTCTTGAAGATTCAATATAGGTAGTACAAGCATAGGATTCACGATGTAGGGTTGATGAACTGATACTACTTAGTCTGGTTACGAACATAAGCCTTGACCTGTTTTTAAATGAAACGTATTTAATGGTATCAGTTCACTTGAAGGACATCATATTTTTTATAGAACTAGATAATTTCACACAGTCAATCATCTTTTCACTAAGCGAAATGTGCTTTTGGTCAGGTTCAGGCTAGTCAAAAAGCCTCAAAGAAAACTTTAACATAGATCGGAATAGTCAATATCTCGTGATTATTTTGACAAATTGAGTTCGACTATTTTTATCGAATTTGTTCGATAACTGTGATAATCAATTTACAGGCGAAGTTAAGAAAACGAAAATATGATAAATTTGTTTTAATTTCGTTCAATGTTTATGCAGTCGTCTACTATTATAAAAAAAACATGTATAAATACGAATGCATTCAAAACCTATGAACACTATTATTGATGGTTAAAAGAATTAATTCAATATCGTAAATATTTTTGTATTCGATGATTAAGCGTGTCCGCTACATATAAATTGAGTTGATTATCAAGTCTTATGGAATAAGGGGAATTGAGCTGAGTGGAATTGGAACCACTGACTCCAGTAATACCAGCAATTGTTGTTCCATTTGTTTGACCAGCTAAAAAAAGTTGTATACGATGGTTTCCGGTATCAGCTACATACATATTACCCATTGGATCAAGTGTGACGCCTGTCGGATAACTAAGACGTGTTGATGAACTGCCAACCATTCCAGGACTCCCTGCTACCAAGGTCCAACTTCTATCGCTTAATGGCCAGCGAACAATATGCTGACCACCGTAATTAGCAATAAGAAGACTGTTTGATGCTAAATCAAAATAAACTCCAACTGGATAATATAGTTGTGTGCTGTTTGTCCCTGGTCCTTGTCCTCCGATGGCCAAAGTACCATTAGATACACCGGGTGCATAACTCATGACACGATTATTGTTATAATCGGCGATGTAAAGTGTATTAGTATTTGTGTCCCGTGAAATAAAGTATGGAGTATGAAACTGATTGTACGCAAAACCAGATGAACCTATAACAACAAAATCATGTACAAATTAACCTAATATTAAATAATTTAAATTGAAAACTTGGTACATGTTTTTGTATCGAATGTCTTCATTTATATGCTTACTGACAAAAAACAAAACGACTTTTAATTTGTTGATTTTACAAGCCACATTTAGGAAAATATTTCCTGAAATATGCCGTAGAATAGCATATACGTATATAGTGAAGCTAATAATCTATGTTTTTTGTAAAAGATTCATCCAGCATAATGGAAAAAAATATTTTTGAAAGTTCTCTATATTGATAGTTTTACATTTATTACACTACCAAATTACAAGCAAGACATGAGCATTTTTAAAAATATACATTCAAATATTTTTAAATAATCACTTAATCTAGTATCTCTGTTTCCTTTTATCCTACCTGTACCAGCGATTTGAGTTCCCGATGTTGCACCGTTAGTCCATTGTTGAATTCGAGCATTAATTGAATCAGATACATAAATATTATTATTTGAATCAATAATTACACCAGCAGGAGCACTTAAATATGCTGCACCTATACCACTAGTCCCATTTGCTTGACCCGCAACAGTTGTACCAGTTGATGCGCCGATCAGCCATCGTTGGATCCGATTGTTATTGAAATCAGCAATATAGAGTGTATTGGAAAAATCCACTGCAAGATCAATAGGAGTATTAAGCTTATCAGAAGTCGAACCTGATGAACTTCCTATGCCAGCTACAGTTAAACCGGTCGAATTCCAACGAAGTAAGGGCGTGAGAACTAGAAAAATAAAATTCATTACATTCTATCCTTTAAAATTCAAATAGGCATCTATTCTTGTAAAAGACATATATATATAGTGTCTTTTTTTGAAATAAAAAAGGAAAATGTTCTGAGTTTTGCTGCTTGACTAAATAAAAATAAAAGAAATTTACTTGGTGTTGTAGTTGCCTTTTTAGTTGTGAAATGAATAATAAGATAAATACCGATTGCAAGTGCACTCAATACAAAGAGAACAATAATGACAATAATAGCTATGAGCCATTTCTTTGGATATATCTTCTTTTTTTCAATATTCTCTGCTCGTAAATTCTTAAAGTAAAGTAAACATTTATGCTAGAGAATAATTGAACAAACTTTTTAACTCACTTGAAAGTAGTTTTTGTTGATAGTTCAATATCAGAAGAAAATAATGAAGCTTGAAATGTTTGTTGTGATTTGATGGTATTACTACTTATCATCAATAGATTTGTAGGCGTTTTCATTGATGTATCCAATGGACTAATTCGAGATGATGAGTGAATTATACTGGCTCCATATTGCTTTTGTTGTCGTCTATTAGCATGAATACGCTATAAAGAAAGAAAAACAAAAATGAATACAATATCTATCTAGTTGTATTAAGTTCTCATCACTTTAGGATAAGACTGGCGTTTCTTTCGCCTTAAAACCAATGACACATGAACTATTGGATGCTTGTCCATTGAAAGTAATATGCATGACATTGAATGTAGATGAAATGTAATTGAAATGATGAATTTTTCTTTTATTTTATCTTAATAGGTTTTTTTCACATGCAAATATATATACATATATTATACATTTATTTATGAATAAATTACCCCGAAGAAAATGGTTTTACTCGATTTAATGTAGGTTTCTTTATATAAAAATGTATTTGTGATTATTGTTCTGCAAGGACAAAAAATAAATTAGAAAATAGAAACTAATCTTAAATTTATGTATCAACAACTTGCCTGATCTATTTCTTATTATGTTTCATTATAGGGAAGAAAGAAAACATCTATTCATGTATGTTTCAATTGAGACAAATGAAATAAAAAAAAAGGTCATAAAAATACCTTATGTTAATTAAAACAGCGAGGAGAGTTACTGAAACAAGTTTCTGTTTTACATTCATCAATAATTTCGATTTGAATCGTTTCAGATTGAATTTATAAAAGCTTTTGAGAGTAGATGTCATATCTCAAACATCATTTGAGAACTGTAAAATCAAGCAACAAAATGAATTCAAAAGAATATTGGGATAGAATAATTTGTCTCATTATAATGTAATTCGACGAAGTTTATCATACAGTGTAATCACTAAGATGATTTGTCAGGTATTCCATTTTTCTTTGAATTTTCTATATATTTCATGTTACTTGTCTGTCAAACTAGGGTAAGTAGGTGGGCATGGTTTCACTACACTCACGCTTTCGAAAAATTCTCTGTGATATTGTTAAACAATAAAATGAATTCAATCTATGAATAAGATTGTTTTTTTGTTATGTATTAAGAATCATGTGATACAGAATTTCACGCCAATTACGAAATATGTCATTCTTAATTTTTGAAAAAACAAATTTTCTTCCTCTCGAATAATTTCAATATTGGATGTCTCGATTGTGAGCATTATCTGTTATCATGGAAATTATTTGCATTGAAAGATTTTTCAATTACAACAGAAAGTATAATATAAAACAAATCTTCTAATGTTGTTTGTCTTTTTTGCTTCTGAACTAATATAAATATCCCTTAATCTAAATTCAATATCATTAATTAATGAGTGTGTAGTGGAGGTGGTTGTGTTGTTGCTAATAAATGAAGTGATTACCATCTTTATTATTATGAATTAATTTTATTTTTTCTTGCAAAAGAAGTTCATACCATAATGTCATTCTTTTCTTCACACATACAGTCAAACAAACGTATTTACATTAGAAAGATTGTAAGAACAGCAGAAACCGCGAAAAACTGTTGATTATTCAGTGCAAGGCGGCGTTCACATGAGAGTGAGAGACGTTTCCACCAAAAATCGTTTCGTTGAATCCGAGACCGTTCATAATTAGGAGTTGGGCACTATTAGAGGTTTTAGTAGACATTGAAAAGTGAATATGATTATGCGATATTTGTTTGATTTTGAAATATTAAAGATCCATTCAGTAATGTTGTTTTGGACATTTCCCTACTAAACTATGGTAATATTCAACTTTCCAAACCAATCCGAAAACTCGTTCGTATTTAATAATTTTGACCTTTATACTTTTAGTAATAAGTAAAATAAATGTATTAATCAGAATCAGTATGAAAAACATAGTCAAATGATATTGTCATCAGCAAGGAAATATTTTTTTGTCAAAAACTCATCTCCGAAAGATTACGAATAAAATTTTTCAAATAAAGTATCAAAAATAAATCAAGGCGTTTTTTTAACAAAAAAATATTTTTTTCCTCCAGATAATGTCTTTTTATACGTTAAGCAAATAATGAAGATCAAAATTATTAAACATGCACAAATTTCTAGATTGGTTTGCAACGTTGAATATTATGATAGTCAAGTAAGAAGTGTTCAAAACAACAGAACTTTAATTTTAAAATCAATTAAATCTCAGTATCATACTGAGTTTTCAAGGTTAATTCGAATAAAATTATTTATCGAATCTAGAGCATAAATCTAAGAGGAAAAATGTTGTAATTCATCACATATTGAGATTATTCAAGTTAATGGCATCAGATTCGGCATGGAATGATGTAAAATACATAAGAAAAACAAAACCTTACTCGAACTTTAAATTAACTACACATTATTTTGGTCTCATTTTTTTGATGATTAGAAAAAAATCCAATTTGATTTTCTAGTGATTTGAGAGACTTGAAAATGTGCAGAATAGTCTTATTGGTTTTAATTATTTTTAGTTCAGACATTTCTCATTTTTCTTTTTGATCGTTTTTCATAAATTGAAAACGTAACTTTAGAAAATTCGATTTCAATATTGCTGTGAAATAAAATACAAGTCAATAGTAGTATAAAAGCCATTATTCGAAGATTTCTCGATCGAATGCATGTCTGATGTCATCTTTTCATCTCAGAAATAATTCAATATTGGAATATCAATAGTTGCAATTGAATTCTCTCTATTGTTGATCCAACGATACAAAGAATTAGTATGACATTCTATCTTGTAAATGGTATCTGATAAGCATTTCACTTGGATAATGTATTAGTAACAAGAGGTTTTTGTTCGATTTGTGATGGAGCTTTGCGTAGAAGAATGATGAATTCAAACATATGAATAAAAAAACAGATAACGTTATTTTGTCTTTGAACGAAATCATTCAGAATCGAAACCTGATTAATAAAAGACCTGATATCATTGTTTCATAACACTAACTTTTGATGAGTCTTAGAAATACTGATTTTGATAATCTGTTATGGATGGGTCAAATCTGAATTGTCGTCTGTTAAAATGATTATGACGATGGTATATGTAAAAGTTGTGTTTGGAATAGTGTTTATCAAAATAAAGTTTTATAAGATTATTTTCGGTGATATTCTTCTTAAATCAAAATTGAATTAACCATCATCTAATTGTTTGAGATCAAATTTTCTCGATGCCAATCAATTGAAATTACCAAATTTACTTTCAATTGATTTCAATAAGATTTAAACTTAATTCTCATATTTTGTACTATGTGTGTTACATGAAGAACAACATATATATGATGTTGAAGTTCCAGTATACTGACAATTTCTATAACTTTGCAAGTCAAAATTCGAAAGTACGGCGTTCAAATCCTGAAATTTCCACAAAACATCATTTTACACATTTGTAAGGGGATTTCATAGAATAAGCAACGTTAAGATGCAGACATCGAGTCAATTGATTTTTTTCAAATTTCTTAATTAAGTATCATTAGGCATTATTATATATCAGATGATGAAATTACTTTCAACCAAACTTATTTAGTTTCCTCAAAAGATGAGGGTACATTTGAATTTGATTTTCATTAGAGACTGATACTACTGTAATTGAAATTGTAATTTTTTTGTCTTTTTTTATTCTTACATAGACATGTTTAACGTCTATCATCCTTCAACGATTCGATTGGATATCATTAACAAAAAAAGAAATGACAGCTTTGTAGATGAATATGTATTGTGGATTGTTTGACAGATTTTCAATGGGAAACTAATGTAGTATAGATTAATAACTGGTGACAAAAATATCAATAGAAAGAAAAATATACGATTGGCTTTTTTTTAAAGTCTTCATTGAAGTGCAGAAACCTTAATCCTCTCAATCTCTATGAAGTTTCATTTCAATCAACTAGAAAGTTTTAAATAAAATGGAAAATCTGAACGTGAGTCAAATATAAAGCGAACATAGCATTATGTTCACTGGATTCAGATTGACAAGTGTGAACAGAACCCACGGTTGGAATTTCGTTTTCAACTGTTAATTCAACTATCATATCTTGTGAATTAATTTAGAATCAGCAACATCGTACTTTTGAAGAAGACTGCAAATTGAACTATTATCATATTGTTCATAGTTTTCGTTGTATGCTTTTTTTTTCTAGACATTCTTCTTTTCATTTAAAGCTTTAATTTCAGTAATCAATATTTGAAAAGGATATCATGCATATTTTTAAATTTGTGCACACTTGAATATTTATTTGTCTTCTCCTCAATACCCATCTAGGAGCGGGTAAATTTGGTTGTCGAGGAGTGTGCGTGTCTGTGGATGTGTGTCAGTTTTGTGGAAGAAAAGACACATCCACATCCACACGCACATCCACACCACTCACCTGTGCGACTTTCTCTTTCCTTAGAAAAAAATAGTGTTGTTTTTTTTTATGTTCGGCCGCATTAATCATCGTTGGAATTTTCCAACTCATTTTCTCTTTCTGTATTTCACTTGAAAAAGCCTTAGAAAATTAGTACAAATCAAAATTTATCATGTCAGCTTCAACTGATCAATTCGATCACATCATCGTCTGGCTTGATCAAAACGTTGCTTCGCCAAATGATTGTCAGAATTTGAAAAAAGCCTTTTTTTACTACCATCGATCCAGACAATGAATTACCAACCAAGATTGATGACAAAGATATATCGAATTTGATTCATGAGGAAAAACCTTCTCAACAATCTGATTTTCATGCGACTGCATTAGTTTTCAAATTATTCGATGATATCGATAAATGTAATAAATTTCTTCTGGCCAATGCGGGTAACAAGCGCATTTTTTTTATTACTTCAGGCTCATTCGGACAATACATCGTACCTAAACTTCTCAATATGGATCCGGGCGTATTTCAAGATCAGAATGGAAAATTTTACGAGCATTCAATTTACATTTTTTGTGCTGATATGGCCCTACATTCACGTTGGGCTGAAGAGTTTTAGATCTGAACTGTATTCAAATGTATAGCGATGAAAGAACCGTTTTATCACGTCTCGCTCGAGACATCGCCAATGACTTCGTATCCAAAGGCGAAGAAGAATGGATCAAAGATAATATCAAGGCAGTCAAAAAAGCTTGTCAATACTTTACGTGGGCCAGGACACTTCATACAAAGGCTGAATCAGTAAGAAAAGGAGGCTTAAATGACGACCTATTGCGCAAACTAGATCAACAAATTAATAAGGCCGAGCAAAGAATCAAGGAATTAGAAGATTGAATGCTTCATAATAATAATAAAATGTGATTGATTAGTCAAGAAAACTTTGTAACAGTATCCTCCATATGTGATTCACGATATGCAGGCTTTATTTTGGCTACATATTTAGTTATTGTTTCATTTGAAATAAAACAACAAATAAATATCACTAAACTTAAATAGAATACATACGGTATAGTTCTGGGCCGAACTTCATCCAGCGATGGATAATTTCGCCTATGTGCATTTAAACGATTAAAGTTATATAGTTTTCTGTCAAAAATATGACTAAATCTACGAAGAATAGCGAATGGTTCTTAGGAATACGAAATCATCAAGGAAGAAGAATAGAGCAAAAAGTTAATAGATTTAATGTGAATTGTTTTCAACAGAACACAAAAAATGGGTGTGAATGAGCGATGGGTTTGGGTGAACAGAAGGTATACAGCCACACCCATATGTATCTGACACACAGTCGATGGTCCATTGGCAGCCTATGTTTCTTAATCTACGAGAGTTGTTGAAATTTGGACGATACTCCATCAGCTGCTATCTTTTTTTAAGATAAACAATAAAGCATCGATATTGTGTGCGAGATGTGTGTATGGATGATCATATCTACATGCGCATCTATATTCTATTTGGAATATAGAAATAAATCGAACAAAAAAAAGCAAAGTATCGACAATATAGTAGAAGACCGAAAAAGACTTCGCTGTCATAGTCATACCATACTTCATGTTGTGATCTATCGCTAGCAGGTATAATCGAATGAACTTCGTTTCAGGATTCGATATTGATGGACCCATTCTGACAAGATCTGAGCTTCTATGAAAGATGAAACGCTGTTGAATGTAGAAAGTTGATGAAGGAGTACGAAAGAAAATTTAATTTGTAAAAAGTAACAGCTTTGAAAAAGAATTATAGAATATTATTCAGTGGAATGTTAAAGTCATTTCGATAAGCGATTAGAAAAAAAACAGGCAAGAAATGATTCGACAAAATCAATTCAACGTGTATTGCAACGTGTATTCTTTGAAAAAAAACGGTATTATTGCTTTTATGACGCGTTCTGTTTTTTTCTCGTTCTTGGGGTGTTGGTGGGGGTGTGGGGAGGGGGGGGGGTGGGGGGCGTGAGATCGCCTTAAAGAAGGAATCCTTCTTAATTAGGAGTTGATTCTGTCCTACACATTCAGCGACGAAACTTAATTTCCAATTATGACTGACGNTGTTCTTTTTACATAGCTTTCAAAATCTCTCAGGGTGGGCTCGCTGTAAATCAGGATGGGCTGAGCCCACCCTGGCCCACCCCTGGCGCCGCCACTACTAAAAGGAAGTTTTTTGCTTAAGTTTAACATTTTCAAATAGTCGTTTTAAAAGCTGACATGTTAATATGATCTACTTGTTAGTGGAATTCAAAATGATGAGCATTCGATTCTGAAGAAGCTACAAATTTGCAATCGAATACTTTTCTTATTCCTTTTTTTGTAGAGTATTTTCCAATTCATCTACATAAAACTTGCGAGTTGCCACCTGATCGTTCATACATATTCGGTTGCCATCCACATGGCATCATTTCACTAGGTGCCTTTGGTAATTTTGCCACTGAAGCTACTGATTTCGAACACATATTTCCCGGTATCAATATTCGTTTGCTTACACTGAGTTCAAATTTTCGATTTCCGTTCTACGATCTCTTTCTGTCGATGATGGGTCTATGCGATTCATCGAAAGAATCATGCAATTATATTCTAAAGCAAGGCAATGGCAATAGTTTAGTGTTAATTTTGGGTGGTGCGAAAGAAGCACTGGATGCTCGACCATCGGATGAATACATTTTGACACTTAAAAATCGTAAAGGTTTCATTAAAATTGCTCTAACCAATGGTGCAAGTCTTGTACCTGTATTTTCATTCGGAGAAAATGATCTTTACGCACAAGTATCTAATCCACGTGGTTCAAAAATTCGACAATTACAAAATTATTTACAAAGAAAAATGGGCTATTCGTTACCGTTATTCAATGGACGTGGTGTGTTTCAATATGCAATTGGATTTTTACCTAATCGACGTCCAATCGATACGTATGTTGGTGCACCGATTGCTTTGCCGAAATTAGAAGAAGGTAAAATAACACCTGAGATTGTCGACCAATATCATAAGCAATACATGGAAGCGTTGACACATCTATTCGATACATACAAGGCGAAGCATGGTCAAGCTAGTGCAACAATCATATATGCCGAGGCTGATTCGATATAGAAGAAAAAAGAAACATCTATGTAATAAAACACATAAAACTACTGTGTAACAACAAAAACAATAAAGAAAAAAAAATGTTCATTTTTGCTACTCTTTTTGCTACGAAGAAAACTTTGAATTGATCAATGATAGTGGTTGTGGATTAAACAGCATAACCTATTGCGCGAAAGTCTTGATACAAAATGTTCGTTTATTTTTTAGCTACTTACACACAAGTAGTGAGCATTAAAAGTTGTCAGTTAGAATTAAAATTTTGGGTTCCTACTGAATATGAGTTCAGAGTATTTTCTTTGACTTACTGTTAGTTAATGGCGAGTAAATGCCTAATAATATTGAAAGTGACAATATTTTGCGTTTTGATTAATCCTCCGACGGCGGACTTCTTTTTATTAAAAAACATGTGGTCAACGCAGAACTTCTAAAACTTTCAGTAATGTCTAAAGAACTTTTACTACTAGACGCCATATTACACTAGAAAAAAATTTAAAATAAGAAAATAAAGAATGTAACGTATAAAGTAGATTCGCAACAGCTGATTACGTTATCATCTCTTCTGTAATTTAATTTTCCATACTACTCTATATAATCTATGCTATAGACGTACACATCCTATACATAAGAATTTAATGGAATAGTATTCCATGATCAATAAAATAAGCATTTCAAATGAACAGAACGATGGTATCTACAGATATATCTCACTAAATCTGCAGTATCTTGCTAGGTGTGAGCTCAGGTCTACAGTTTATTCACGCTCATACCCATCCACACCCGCACCCATAAGAAATTTTTTTACATCACCGATTTATGTCTCTATTTAAAAATTTCATCCAAATTTCGTGAAATAATTCCTCTTTTTTTGATTAATGATCGAATTCTTTGATAATAACTTTATTTCAAGGAAAACTATTTATTTTTAACTAAAATTAATTCGAATCGATGAAGTTTTTCAAATTGTTTATAATTATTTAAAAATAAAAATGTCTTAGATCATAGATTGTGATACATCAATTAACAAAAGAATGAAAAAGGGTTTAACGTGTGGATATGTCATTGAATATTTGAAATTATGCCTGTCAAAAAAAAGAAAAAAAACCAATCAGTCCTGAGTAGTCGTAGCAATGTGTTCGCTTGACACGTTTTGTGGCTAACTAATATATTCGATTGCTTATTCATACTCTTACCAAACCACAAGTATACTCGATAGATGGGGCCATATTCGTCACAGTCAGTCCCTTTGCTCCACTCTATCTCATGTGCAACATCTCTTTTCATTTGCGAGAGCCATTTAGTGATCTCATCGTCGTTGACATACATGATATCAGTATTAAGATTTTAATATGACGAGGTAATTTCAAACAGATAGCATTAAAACTTATCACAGCATATTTTAAGTGAACAAAGATTCCATGCTCGTTTGAATAAAGTATTCATTTCTACATCCAAACTCGCACCGAACTTACACTTGCACTGGAAATACAATTTGAATGCTTGAAGATTCGATAGATTAACAATTGTTGAAAGATGTTCAATTAAGCCGACAGGTCAGTTTTGATCGACTATCAATATCAGTTCTCTCACATTTCAAAATAGATAATTCGTTGTTGCATTAGTCTAAAAACAAGCATATGTAATCTTTTAGGCAATTGAAATATGAAATATAAAACTATTTTAAGTCAAAAAGGAATCTTTAAAATCATGCAGATTGCTTGTCTATGAAATTAAGAAATCTTTGCAAAGAACTTAGTTTTTGTCTTACGCAATATGTTCAAGTGTCCTTTATCGAAGATTATACAATCAAAAAATCTTCATAGTTATTTAGAACAAGAAAATAAATTATTTTCGAAACTCTTATAGAAAAAAAATCTCGTTTTGTTCTCCTTCGGTGAAATAAATAATCTACACAAAATACGTATGTACATCTTTGCTCAAATGTATTGTGAGATTCAACAATATTTACCTCAAATAGGAATACAGATTTTAAAGTTTATATCAATTCATTGAAGAATAAATTATCTGCAAATATTGAACAGCAGTGTTTTACGTCAAGTGTATTTTTCTCAGAATCAAGTTTTTCCTAAAACATACTGAATGATCTCTGTTTCTCAGACATAGTAAGATCGATAGAGCTGCAATTTTTTCAAATATACTATCCATGTCAAAAATTTCTATAGGATAATCGAAAAGTAATCAATTATTTTCTATTGAAAAATGCACAAAATAATCGATTAGAATTTAATCTATTTTCAAGCTATGATGCTTTGAATTTGATTGAAATTCATAATTGATTATAATAGACTAAAATGTTGCATTTATCACTTATTACTTTAGTACTTTTTAATCAAAAGTAATGATGATTATTTGATTATGTTTTTACATGGATGGGTAGATGGTATGATCTTTGAAAAAACTATTACTTCCCTCATTTTAGCAGATCTTGCAAAACATGACATAGATAAAAAAAACAACAAGCAAACGATTTTAGAATGCTTTCGTAAATTTGTCTTTTTATCAGAATAGAACAGAATAAAATGCAATTAAAACTAATACTCCATCAAAAAACAAATATTTTTCAAAACTATCACCATTTTCTTTAATACAAAAAATGTAACATTTTTCTGTGGCGAAAAATACTTCCGAGACTTAGGTGATCAGAGGTTTTCGAGCCCATAGTTCATCCATTAGTAAGAGACTACTGAACTGTAACAATCTCCAAAAAATTTATGATCTTGTTGTTTTGTGATCGATATATTAGATGTTTAGTGAATTCTTCCACGTAGGATCAATTTTTTAAAATTTGAAACTTCGCACACATAAAGATATCCATTAAACTATTTTGTCTGTTAAATTTCAGAATATTCCGATGTATTCATTCCGAAATATGCATTATTCAAAATCTGCATATATGAAACGATACCGAAGAAAAAATGCATCGAAAAATTCTGTGATTTGGTACACAAGTTAGTTTAATTGAGATCTGTATCTGAGCAAAGTTAAACTCTTCATAGAAGAATTAACTACAGATTCAATATCTCGGTCAAAACGTAACAAAACCATGAACCATTTGAATTTAGTTCAAGTCCATTGGGCTCTTACTACTGAGTAACATAATGACCCAAATGCGTTTAATCAGCTGGTGAAACATCTCTCGAAAGTGTTCTTTTAACATTAGAGATGACAAATTTTTTCTACTAAAGTACATAGTGGCAGGGTGTGTAGGTGTGGGTGTGGATCTGAGTGAAGAAAATACTAATAATTACATCCATATCCCACATTCATCATATATACAAAAAATACATTTTTTTTTCATTCTAAACTTCATGAATTCTTTTTTGTTTGTATTGAAATGTTGTAATAATTTATCATCGTCTTCTATGAAATGCTCACCAAATTTGACATACTTATTCATCATTTGTTCTTTATCATTTTCTAAAAAAACTATATTTTTGGCTGTCATAAATATCGAAGCTATGAAGTGAAATAAAAAGATAATAAATGCAAAATGCAACATCCTGTCTTATCTTTCTACACGCCACCATAAAAAAGAAGCCTTTCTTCTATTTTTAATATAGGAAGCAATGTGTCCATGATTCAATTAACGTTAAAACTAAACAATAGATACATAATCTTGAGGCATAAAATATCCTTATTGTATGATAAAAATTGTGCGCAAATATTATATTTCAAAGACATTCAGTATATAAAAAAAGGAAATCGACAAACAATAAAATAATTGACGCAATAGCAGATTACACATGCATGAACGACAACGGAAATAAAGTATTCTTTCCATTCTTCTTTGTTTTCAATGGATTAAAAGATACCGAAGCAGTAAAAAGAAAAATATATTATTTTTATGCACATATTATCGTTAATTCTATTTTTTTACCCAAACATTTTCACTACCCAAGATTACTCTTATTTGTTTCTTATCCTTCATTTTATTTGCAATGGCTCGATCGCAAAAGAATTGGGTAAGAAAAATTATAGAAACAAATAAAATGAATTAGTTTTTTTTTCTTAATAAAAGATAATTATTCCAACTGAATTAATTGGTTCGTTACCTCGTGCTGCTGAATTAGTCGAAGCTCAACGAGCTCATAAAGATGGAGAATTATCAATGAGTCGATTGACTTTTTTGCAAGAAAAAGACATTCGACATGTTTTACGTGATCTAGCACGAACTGGTTCATTACAATTGACTGATGGTGAACTAACAAAACCTTCATTTCTTAATTATCCTGTGAGTTTTTTTCTTCTTTTTTTTTGGTCGAATGTATCAATCTATCGATAAATAGATCTATGAATTAGCACAATATAATTATTCGTTTGATGGCAAAAACATAACAACAATCACTTATGCTGATGGACATCAACGCTCTCTTCCACAATTAATTAAACCACCATTTCGTTATGCTACATTTGCTGTTAAATATCTTCGAGTAGCACAAAAGTATACTTTACGTCCTTTAAAACAAGCAGTAATAGCTCCATCTGTTCTTTCCCTTGTTTATACTGGAGAAACAATTAAAAATTATTCAAGGGAACAGTTTCTTAATGATTTAATAAATGAATCAGAAAAAGATGTTCGACAATGTTTAGAAGCAGGTGCAGATAAAGTTCAACTTGATTTTGCAAAGGCTAGATTATCATTAAAGATGGATCCAAGTGGAAATTTACTTAAAGAATTTATTGATATTAATAATCGAATGTTAGAACGTTTCAATGCAGAAGAAAGAAAGAAACTAGGTGTACATGTTTGTTCAGGTCTGTAGAATTATTTTTAAATTTGAAACGAAAATTATTTTTCCTATTATTTTCATTATAGGTAATGATAGAGGTAGCACTCATTCTGCGGATGTTGATTATTCACGAGTATTAAGTCAGCTTTTTGAACTTCAATTAAACAACTTTTATTTACAAATGACAACTGAACCAGATCCTGAAAGTATTCTTTCTCTTATTGGCAAACTTATTAAACCACATCATCGCGTTTTCAT